ATCGGCCATACGTCTTGGGTAGGAATACAATGCCGAATTATATCAGTCCGGCCCAACTCAGAGATATCTTGAGCACAGAGATCGGGATGTCCTCTAAGTAATTCTAACAACCGCTTTCTTTGGTCATCTTCTACTTCCCCTATATTATATTTAATATTGGAGCAGCTTCCTTTTTCATAGTAATAATCAAATAAATCTGATATAGATCGATTATCTTCTTCCTGCGATGAAATAAGACCTGCAACAGGTCCTCCGTTATACGAGATCATTTCCTCATTCGATCGTTCAATATTTTTCTCTTCTTTTAGAATTTCATCCCATTCCGAGCCCAATCTTTTTCTAACGTTTCCTCTTTCATCTTCAAATTCTAAAATCGCGTACAGTTGCTCTTCTAACTCTTCATCTTCAAAGTCCTCTTCTTCTTCTTCTTCATCTTCGTCCTTATCGTCACTACCGAGATCTCTTATTTTCACTACTCGCTCTTTGTCTAACGGCACCTTAGCTAACTTTCGAAATTCAACTGGAACAATAATTTCTTTCTCATCCCAAATCAAGGTCATTTCAGAGCTATTCCAATCAATAGTCGCATTAACCTTAGCTAGCCAATCGTTTCCTACGATAGCACAATAGGAATGGGCGTCGGTTACGACTACATCAATTGGAATTTCAACACCACCAATGTTGAATGGAAAATCAGAAATTTCTCCAATAGCACGCTTGCTTTCACCATGAATATTGACCATATTTACTACAGATGGTCGTTCAATTCTTATACCAAGATCATTCAACAAATGGGAAGTAACAACACTTCCAGAGGATCCACTATCGACGATTAATGGTATTACTTGGTCATAAACCTTGGCGTCACAATATAAAGCCGTCGACTTTAAGGTAGGTTGGATATTAACATTAGCTTGAACCTTTTTACGGCTTACAATCCTTTTCTTCTGCAGGGATCGGGATAATTCTTGTCTCATCGATGCTGTAACTTGTAACAACTGCCCGATAGTTATATTAGCAGGCTTATCTCTTACATCGGCTACTATCGAATATGGAGTGACTAAAGAAGAAATTTGAGGTAATTCATCTTCAACAATATTTTTCCGTCGAATGACAGGAACCTTTTTCTGAACTACTTTCACATCCTCTTTCTTTTTATTTATCTTAGGCGGTTCAACTTTCTTTGATTCAAGTGGCGCGGCCGATTCATCTTGTTCTTGATCGTGGACAACTGGATCTTGTGATTCTAGGTTTTCGTGATCCTCATGAACTTCTTCCATTTCAACATCAGGGTCTTTACTATTTCCAGTTTCTTCAAGATCGATTAAATCTACAACTTTGGTTCCAGCTTGTTTTTTTCGAAGGATCGGTGTACTTGCTATAGGCTTTGGGCGAATCGGCCTTTCGGCTGGAAAGAATAACGTTTCATCATCGGGAATTCCTAAATACGAAGCTTGATTCCCCACATTATTAAAAAGACCTGGATTATTATTCATTAATGCTAATAACGCTTGAAGAGTTTCCTGAGGGTCATTTCCATTAGGGGTAGAATTATTATTATTAGTTGTTGGCGGCCGGTTATTAACTGGAGGATTATTACGATTATTTAATGAATCAGGACAATTTCGACTATAGTGTCCAGTACGACCACAAGTAAAGCATGTCACAGTCGATGGGGTAGAATTTCCAGACCGAGGTCTAGATAGTGGCCTTCGTTGATCTTGAAATTGGTTTATTAACTTATCAATCGAACTCGTCAAACTTTTCAAGGCCTCAGCCGTCTCATTCGAACTAGCAAAATTAAGATTTGGGGTACTAGGAAAACTATAGGGAGAATGAAAGACTGTCGGAGTTGCATAAGCAGCTTGAGTAGGGTTTTGTTTGTAAGCATTTTCGAATGCCTTTGCTCTAATATATGCTTCTTCCAACGTATTAGGAGTTAACGGGGATACAGCTACAAATAATTCTGGTCGAAGTCCATTAATAAACATTTGAGCCTTAGCCGTATTAGGATATTGATGCCCTCCTGACTCTACTCGACGGAGCATTTCTTCAATCGCCGTATGATATTCATCTACACTTTCACCTGGCACTTGCTTTCTTTGAGTTAGTTGTGCAAACCATTTTCCTTCTAACTCAGGTGTTCTAAACTTATTAATAAAATGGGTTGTAAAACTTTGGTGAGGCACCAAAGGATCACGCCATCTATCGATTATAGGTTGTTGATTTCTTCTCGTAGCCCACCATGTTGCAGCTGGACCCTTGAGCATTGGAACGATCACAGAAATCTTCCGAAGTGGCGATATAAGGTTAGCCTCGAAGGCTTTATCAACATCTTCAAGCCAAGTTATAGGATCTTGATCTCCTCCATGAAATTCAGGGTAGGGAATAGTGTTAAGTTCTCGAGGATTAGCAGGAACATTAACTTGCGGAGGCGGCGCAGTTTGCATTTGCTGAACCAAAGCGGCAATTTGGTTAGCTAAATTATGTAAGGGGTTATTTGGATTCAATTGAGCTGGCTGTTGGGGTTGTTGGTTAATAGACATTTCGAATCTAAATCTATATTTTCTTTAACACGAATATCTTTTTCAATCCACACAATCGGCACCAAATGTTACTATTGTTTTGGGAGAGCGTATAGAACTATCGGCACAATTTAACT